GCCACCAGTGCCAGTTCCGAATTGGCACCACATCCACGATATAAGCAGGCTCGAACGCTTGGATATATGGGTCGTGACCGGGCCATATGTGGCATTTAAGCTTGAGCTCTCCCTTGGATAACAGCTCGCTGAACTGCGCCTCTCCCCACCCTTTCCATTGCGTTCTTATAATGGATTCGTCATCCTCCAAAAAGGCAAGCAGCCTTAATGTCGTCTCCCTGCTCCTGCCTCGCCGCTGCGGCTCCCCCGAGTCTGCTTTCACGACAGGTTCGCCGTGCCGAGCCTCTGCTTCGAACACGGTCAGCTGCGCGTACTGATTGCTCGCGGCCGCGCCTTTCTTTTCCTCCATGACGATTGGCTGCGTCACGAACGTTCCCTGCGCGAACGGCGCGGTCGGGCTGCCCATGCACAGCCGGATCTTCGCGCCGCGCGCGCATAACGACAGATGATTAAGTGACGCAAGGTTGTCACGACCGTTATCGTCATCATCGGCGTTCACACGTTCAGCTCGATTTTTAACATACTTTCGCGTCGCATGATCAAAGGCCGCGTCGACCTGCGGTGTTCCCGCGGCGGCGCGGAATTCACCAGGCGGCAGGCCGGTCGAGGGACCGGTCAGTTGCAAAGCGATCCAAAAGGTGAACAAGGCGGATGTGGCAGCGGCGAGCGCGACATAATGCCACTGACTCGCTGTGGACGCTGCCGCTTGCGACGCAGGCATGTGCGGCTAACTAATTCTCAAGTCGCGGTGGAGGGCTATGCGAGTCTGAAAAGCAAATAGTTTGTGGGATTGATAAGCATTAGTATTGCACGAGTACAATGTGTTACTCTAAAACAGAGTTGCACGGAAAAGATTATAGAAGTTGTGACTCAATGAACTGATAATAAAATGAAGGCACGTGATAATGCAAGGTTGGGTGTGTTGGAAACAATAAGTCTTAGTGCGCTTCTGTCGTGTCAAAACCCAAGACACTAGCGAAGCAGTCCGAATCGAAGCATCGAGTCAAACCTCGGAGGTTAGGGTAACCGCCTGGAGGTTACGGGAAAGTCAAAGGTCAGCGACCTTTGACTCGACAATTACAGCGCGACAGTTAAGGGCACACAACTGACTCGTTACAGAGCAGTTGCCCGAGTCGCACTGTATCGAATCGCAACAGCAAATACAGTTATCTATCCATTCGTATTTCCTGTACTCTTATATAAAACTTTGTATTTGCTTGTTTAATTTAATCCACTTTGCTCTCACACACTAGCGCAAGGTCGGTTCACAAGTTTCATTAAACGCTTCCGCTATTACAAAGTTTCTTACCCAGAGTCACCCTCTGCAAAGATCCTTAAGGGCTTTCTCAGCCCAACATGGTATGAGAGCTGACAGGGGAAAACTCTAACTTTTTTTTAAGATCATTACAAGACATGGCAACAAAGAAGGAAAGGAGCTCCCCTAATGGCTCCTCGGGCACTACTACTCCACCGCCAGCCTCTGGCCTGCAGACAGAGGAAGGCACGGCAGCAAGACCAAGGGGAACGTCAACCGAGACCCCCACGAACCATCCTTCTGACTTCGACCAGAGCATGATGGAGAAATTCTTCTCCTTCATGTCCTTCTACGAGCAACACCAGCAGTCGGGACCTGCACAGACACACAACAGCAACAACGGAGCAACACCCATGAGCCTTGACGGGTCGTCATATGCGCGAGGGAATCAACAGCAGCAACCCACCTTCGCCCCGTACGAGCGCGGGTCGATCAGCTTCCTGCCTCAACCTTCACCTGCGCAAGACAAACCAATGGACGCTTTACAAGTTCAGTCGCAATTCGCGCATGTCCTGAAACTGCAAACATCAAGACCTTTCGACGGAAAGGACTTCTTCACCTGGTCCTTTGAATTCGAGCTGATGATGGAGGGCGCGCAGATACTCGGCTTCTTCGACGGATCCCTGCAGTATCCAGCAAACGGCACACAGTATGAGAAGCAGCAGTATACGTATCAATCGATGATGGCATATACTATTCTACTGAGAAACATCACACCAACTCAGCAGCAGAACATTCGCTCTTACCGGAACTTCGGCAACTCGGCGGAACTCGCGTACGGCCATCTGAAGAACCTGTATCAGGCAACAGACAGTGTATGTCAGAGGTCCACTGGTGATCCCCGATCGATCCTAGGGAAGGGTTACAGGCACGTTTGCCTGGGGGGTTATGGGCGCACTGACCCGCTACTGAAACAAGCCCTTTTATCCCAATGGTCTAGTGGTTGGGATTCTGAGATAGTATCAGAGCGAAGGTCTCGGGTTCGAATCCCGGTGTATGCACTTCGGGCATCCCAGTGCGGGGGGGTGTCAGAGGTCCACTGGTGATCCCCGATCGATCCTAGGGAAGGGTTACAGGCACGTTTGCCTGGGGGGTTATGGGCGCACTGACCCGCTACTGAAACAAGCCCTTTTATCCCAATGGTCTAGTGGTTGGGATTCTGAGAGTGTAAACCAGAGCAGGTTAATGGCGCAGTTGACAACAGTTGAAATGAAACTAGGAGAAAAGGGGTTGGCGTATATCAGCCGATGTCGCGAATTGCGCGACAAGCTTCTTCGATGCGGAGGATCAATCTCTGAAGACGCCTTCGTAACAGTCGTCATCGGTGGCCTCGGTCCTCAGTGGCGCGCCACCAAAGCAATTCTTCGAGCACACGGGAGGATCTCCGAAGCGGCACTCTGCGCCGAAATCCACGCCGAGCAGCAGGATATGGACCTGCAAGAAGAAAGGCACAAGAAAAGGGCATTAGCACCGGAGTTCGCTTTCCATATTCAACGACGACACAACAACTACAACAACCGACAGCAACAGCCGAAGCCAGTACCTCCGTTTTGTCACATCTGCAAGACATCAGGACACCCACGCACGCATTGCCCGTCTCGTCAGACAACACCACAGCGACAACTGCGGCCTTCAAGCTCACAAGTTGCTTCAACGCAAGCAAGTCCGACAACAACGATTCAAGCTTCAACGACTTCAACTGGACAACCTGCACAAGGAGCAAGAAACATAGTCAACTGCATGGTAAAGATAAACGATTCTTGCATAACAGAGTCACCACCCCATTACTCACCAGAAGAGGAGCTCGATAACAGGACGCCTCGTCGCGAATCACTCCACCCAAATCCGACTTACGCCGCCATCGCTCAAAGTGAACCGTCCGGCCAAGACACTTGGTTCTTGGATAGTTGCTGCGGGCAACACATGTGCTCGTCCGGGCGCTTCGTACAACGCGAACATCGACTCCAACGAGAAGTGATCATCACGGTCGCCAACAATCAAAACCTGCGCACACGACGACAAGGAGTGGTACAGCTTCAGTCAAGAGAAACAAATGTCATACTGCACATGTCAAAGGTACTCATCGCTGAAGGACTCGGCTACAACTTACTGAGTGTTAGCCAGCTGATGGCGAAAGGGATTCACCTGGAAGCCGACAGCACCACCCAGGAGTTCAAGCTATACCACGGGAGAGGCGGCCTCTACATCGGGAAGGCAGTGCTGAAGAACAACGTCTTCGTCCTCGACTTCGTTCCTGACCTGGGCACTACAGACAGCGACGCCATCGTGAATTTTACTGACTGGACACACCCTCCAGATCTCGACCCCGACTTCAGCCCGGGAGGTTTTTGGTACTCCCACACTATCCCTGAAGCAGAACGAACACGAGCGTTAGCGACGATTCAACAAACAACAGAAGCAGAGACAACATCGGCAGCAGCAGCAACAACATCGGGAGCAGCGACAACATCAGCAGCAGCAGGAACAACGACACCAGTCACAGTCGACGAAGCACCACCAACACCCGCACAACAGCTGAATCCGACCCAACGCGAAGTCCACCGAAGCGCCAACTTCGTCGCCAGTTTTTACTCCAACTTCGACGCATACCAACGTTCACCCGGACACCGCGCCTCTGAAGAGATCTGGCACGCACGCACAGGACATCCAAGCAACACGGTTTTAAATAACACGATAAGAGCAGGAGTTCTTGACAAAGACTCCCTACTTCTACCCGATGGCAGAGAACTCCAGAAGGCACGAGGGACTTGCCTTCTATGCCCCGAAGCTGACTTACCTCATCGACCGTTCGCTCCACATCACAACCCGAGCGCTCCAGCGTACGCACCACTCAAAAAGGTCTACAGCGACATCCTCTACAATCGCGAACCCGGACAAGTCACCTACAACTACACCATCACCTTCATCGTGTCAGTAGAGCTACACTGTGAGATCCCCGATCGATCTTAGGGGGGGTTACAGGCACGTTTGCCTGGGGGGTTATGGGCGCACTGACCCGCTACTGAAACAAGCCCTTTTATCTCAATGGTCTAGTGGTTGGGACTCTGACATGGTATAAGAGCGGTCTCGGGTTCGAATCCCGGTGTATGCACATGTTGGCCGTTGCCACTGTCCTCAGTCCTGGGCCTCCCAGTGTGGGGGGGTGTCAGTAGAGCTACACTGTGAGATCCCCGATCGATCTTAGGGGGGGTTACATGCACGTTTGCCTGGGGGGTTATGGGCGCACTGACCCGCTACTGAAACAAGCCCTTTTATCCCAATGGTCTAGTGGTTGGGACTCTGACACATCAACGCTGCCACTCGATACGTCTGGCATCGCAATCTATGTCAGAACATTATAGCTTACTCATTTGTGTAGGCTATAGTGGGGTATCCCATAGGGGGTACAACCCAGTTAGGGTTTCCTATTTGTACTCACTTCGTTCATAGTTCACTGATTCTCTCGTTCACTTCTTCACATGTTATCGGAGCTGAGTTCGTCCTGGCCTGTGGGCCCGCTTTACTTCCGCTGCTAAAATTTTACGGTCGCGCGCCTAGGGCGCGTGACGATTTTATTCTTTACCTTGTCCCGCCCACGGGCGTGTGACTCCTACCCTGCCCGTCGCGCGCCCCGTGGCAGGCGACGGTGCCCTTTATCTGCCCATCGTGCGCCCCGAGGCACACGATGGTGCCCTGCTCGTCGTGCGCCCCGAGGCACACGATCGGGCCCTTTTATCCTACCCGTCGTGCGCCCCGTGGCACTGGCCCGCGACGGGCCTTTCCGCCCCTGCACTCCTTGCTGCCGCCCCTGACCCATCTGCACCGACGCCTCTTCGCCGCTCTGCGGCTTTCTTCCTTCCCACCCCCCCCTTTCTCTTGTCTCCCTGCAGCCGTGGGGAGGAGGGTATGGGGGTGGAGGGTGTTGGAGCGTGGGGTCAACTCTCTCCCTTCCCCTCCTCCTTCTTTCAGTCCCACCGCTGCAGCTGCCGCTAGGGGGGGAGGGTGTGAGGATGTGGGTGAGCAGGGGGAGTGGTACCGGGGGGGCGGGTGTGAGGCAACAAGCAGCCGTCCCTCCACCTCTCCTCTCTTCCCCCCTTCTCTGCTGCTTCTGCAGCAGTGTGGGGGAGGGGAAGGAGGAGGGTGAGGAGATGGAGGGGGTAACCTTTCAAAGTTAGCCCGCCTGCAGTACCTGCTGTTGCTTGTTTTATTGCTCGTTGGTGTACCTCTGCAGGTTGTGCTCGGCACTTAGCTATTCCTGCATGCAGTTACGGGGGGATGTCAGAATTATATTTATTATAACTGCATGTAGTTCTAGCTGTAGTGTAGTTATTAAATTTGCTGGAGCTGCTGGAGTGGGTGCTCCTGCTGGGGGTACTAGTGCTGTTCCTGCTGTTTCTGGCGTCGCCGCGCAGCCCCGACCGTACTTCGTTCCGCTCCTACAGCAGGTTCTTGGTCTTACACCTCCTCCTCCTCCCTTAGAGGGTCCACAGCCTGTCCAGTCACAGCCACAGCTACAGCCTGCCTCCCCTTTGCCTGCTCCTTCTCCCTACGCTGGTCCGACTAGAGGTCTTACTGAGCGTCGTGAGCCTGCGTCTCGTCCTGCGTCGCCTGTTCGTACTGAGCGCGCTAGTGGTCGCGGGTCGCGTCAGCGTCCTCCTCCTGTCCCTGGCACGCACCGGATGTCACTACGTCCGTCCACTGCTCCTCTGCGTGCCCCTTTGCCTTCTCCTCCTGCTTCCTCTCTTCCTGCTCTTGCCGACCCGGAGTCGGACTCTCTTCGTGCTGCCAGTCCTACTGTCACGCGTCTCCTTGCTACTGCTGTCACTGACCCTTCCTTCGAGTCGTCTGCTGCGTCTGCCCTTGTCACTGAGCTTGTCGACTTTGCTGCGCGCTGTCGTCTCGACTACGCTGCCAGTCTTGTCGCTGAGTCTGAGTCTGCCTGTCCTCCGTCCGTCGGGGGTGAGTGTGCCCTCGGCACGGACGTCCTTGAGGACAGGCAGGAGGAGTTCCAGTGTCTGGCCGCCGCTTCACCTCATCTCGCGTCTGTACTGCTAGCCCCTGAGGGAGACCCGGATGCACCAGACATCCCGACTCCGCGCTCTTACGCGGAGGCGATAGAGGGTCCCTACTCCTCTCAGTGGTAGGCAGCTATGGATGCAGAGATGGCTTCCTGGAAGTCCACAGGCACCTACGTCGACGCTGTTCCCCCTCCTGGGGCGAACATCGTCAGTGGCATGTGGATTTTCAGGGTGAAGCGGCCGCCGGGTTCTCCGCCTGTCTTCAAGGCGCGTTACGTGGCTCGTGGCTTCAGTCAGCGGCAGGGGGTTGACTACTTTCAGACCTTCTCCCCCACCCCGAAGATGACCACTCTTCGGGTTCTGCTACACGTTGCTGCTCACCGTGACTACGAGCTGCACTCTCTCGACTTCAGCACAGCTTTCTTACAGGGCAGCCTGCACGAGGAGATCTGGCTGCGTCGCCCACCTGGCTTCACTAGATCTTTCCCTCCTGGTACCCAGTGGAGTCTCCGGCGTCCAGTCTACGGTCTCCGCCAGGCGCCACGTGAGTGGCACGACACACTGAGGACTACGCTCGCGGCACTTGGGTTTGCTCCGTCTACTGCTGACCCGTCGCTGTTTCTGCGCACCGACACCTCTCTGTCGCCGTTCTACATCCTCGTGTACGTCGACGACTTGGTCTTTGCCACAGCTGACACTGCTGGACTCGCCTACGTGAAGTCCGAGCTGCAGAAGAGACATACGTGCACTGACCTGGGTGAACTGCGTAGCTACCTTGGCTTGCAGATCACCCGGGACAGAGCGCGCCGCACCATTACCCTGACTCAGTCACACATGGTGCAGCAGGTCCTTCAGCGCTTCGGCTTCACGTACTCCTCGCCTCAGGCCACTCCTCTGCCTACTCGCCACTCGCTCTCAGCTCTGCCTTCGGATGAGTCGGTAGAGTCGAGTGGCCCGTTTGCAGAGCTTGTTGGCTGCCTCATGTACTTGATGACCTGCACACGTCCTGACCTTGCATACCCTCTTAGCATTCTCGCACGCTATGTTGCTCCTGGGAGACACTGACCAGAGCACATGGCTGCAGCGAAGAGGGTGTTGCGCTACTTGTGCAGTACGTCGGGCATGGGGCTAGTGCTTGGAGGGCGCAGTCCAGTGGTCCTCACTGGGCACGCAGACGCTTCTTGGGCTGACGACCAGGCTACGCAGCGGTCGTCACAGGGTTACACCTTCAGCCTTGGTTCCGGCTCTGTTTCGTGGCGGGCTACCCGCTCGTCTTCTGTTCTCGGCTCCAGTTGTGAGGCTGAGATCTACGCTGGGGCTATGGCTGCACAGGAGTTATGCTGGCTCACCTACCTGCTGACCGACCTTGGAGAGTAGCCTCGTTCTCCTCCAGTCCTGTACGTAGACAACAAGGCCATGCTGGCCTTGTGTCGAGAGCAGCGACTGGAGCACAGAACGAAGCACATTGCCCTCCGCTACTTTCTTGCTCGTGAGCTGCAGCAGCGTGGACAGTTGCGACTTGCGTACGTGGCCTCTGAGGCCAACACTGCTGATGTCTTCACTAAGGCACTTGCGCCTTGTGATCATCAGCGTTGTTGCACGCAGTTGGGTCTTGTGTCTGTCTTGCCTCACTTGCTCACTTCTTGACCTTGCTTGTACCTTCACCTATATATACTCTTGCTCTTACTTGCTTGACTCTTGTATATCTTTATATATGATCTTGCATGTGAACTGGCCTTCTGGCCTTTTGAACTTGTGCTCGGAATGTGTGGTGACTTTGTGATCCACCCTGAGCTTTGCTTTTCTTTACTTGACTGGTCTTGTGACCCCTTGTTCTCCCCCACTTTGCCTATGGGGGTGTGTCAGAACATTATAGCTTACTCATTTGTGTAGGCTATAGTGGGGTATCCCATAGGGGGTACAACCCAGTTAGGGTTTCCTATTTGTACTCACTTCGTTCATAGTTCACTGATTCTCTCGTTCACTTCTTCTCAATCTACCCAGCCGCGACATGGCACTCGCAGCATTCGCCGCCTGGCTACCGATAGCAGAGAGAGAGTCTGGAACACAACTGAAAAGCTTCCAGTCAGACGGAGGTGGCGAGTACACCTCTCAGCGCTTCAAGCAGTTCCTGACGGAAAGGGGGATCAAGCAACTCCTCTCCCTTCCCTACGCACATCAGCAGCAAGGTGTTGCAGAAAGAATGAACAGGACCCTGCAGAACAGCATGCGCAAACTGTTACGTGGCATGCGGCTACCCAACCACCAGTGGCCAGCAGCAATGGACCATGCTGTCATGCTGCACAACTTGTTGTCGTCGTCGTCACTCCCGAACAACGCATCACCGCATCTGCTGTGGACAGGGAAGCAGGGCAGCACAAAAATGTTACGAGTCTTCGGGTGCATGGTACAGTACAGACCCCCAGAAGCACGAGCGGGAAGATTTTCACAACGGGCACAGTGGGGACTACACCTCGGCATCGAGAAAAATTACAACGCGTGGAGAATCTTCGACGTCCACACAAAAGAAACAGTAGCAGCACGAGATGTGATCTTCTACGAACGACTCACCTTTCAGACGTACCTCGCCAACTTGCCCGAGAATCGGGACCTCACCAGTGGCTTTCGTGGTGACCGAGCCTTCGCGTCAGCAGCGGATGAAGCAGACTGGGATGAGCAGAACGTCGACAACGCATCGGAGGAAGCCGGACCTCTTCCGTACTGCTCCGTCGACGTGCCCATGGATGAGGATAATCCTCGCGACAGTAACAACGCCGAAGTCTTCTACCATTTCGCCGACAATGGTTACGTAACACCTGCGACAGTCAACACCAACGAAGCAGAAAGGGTAGGGCCAAATTTCATACCCGACCCAGAAGCGGGAGACGAAGCAGCTTATCCCGAGGATCCAGAACTCTCTCGATACTCACAGACTGGGCTGCAAATCCTTGGTCTCGTCACCGCAGTCCATGGCGCCGCCATTCCTAAGGAGCCTGCGACGGTTCAACAGGCTCTGGGGGGGGAACATAAGGAGAAATGGCGTGAAGCCATGGACAAAGAGCTGAAGGCACTGGAGGAGCGCAACACCTGGAAAATCGTTCCCATCGGCGTAGCACAAAACAAGACTATCCTTACCGGAAAGTGGGTCTTCCGTGTGAAGACGAAAGCTGACGGCACCATCGACAAATTCAAAGCTCGCTGGGTCGTACGCGGCTTTGACCAGGAGCACGGAAGAGATTACACCGAAACCTTCGCTCCGGTCAGCCGTCACACCTCACTCCGAATCCTCATCGCCGTCGCCGCCATGAAGAAAAAGAAACTGCGACAAATCGACGTCGCAAACGCATTTCTATACGCACCTGTGGATGCAGAAATCTTCGTCGAGCTCCCGCACGGCTCCCACGGCGAACCCAACCGAGTCTGTCAACTGCTTAAGTCGCTCTACGGGATCAAGCAGGCACCGCGACTGTGGCAGCAGTACCTACACGCCCGCCTCATTCGCATCGGTTTCAAACAACTCCCGCATGACCAGGGCATGTATCGCCTCACAAAGGGAAGTGACTACGTTCTCCTAATCGTCTACGTGGACGATCTCCTCTACATTGGGTCAACCGACGGCATCGCCACGTGGTTTGAAGGGGAGCTTCAGAAAGACCTCACGCTCACGGTCTCTTCTACCGTTACGCAGTACCTCGGGCTCAACATCCGCGAGGAAGAAAACGCAATCTATCTAAGCGCCGAGAAGTACGCCGACACCATCGCGAAACGCTTCAGCCTCACACCAAGCGCCATCTCCACGCCTTACCGCTACACGTCAGGAACCGAAAAGGGACGATCTACCCTACTCAAGCCCGCCGGCATACGCGACTATCAGAAGAAGCTCGGATGTCTTCTCTTCGCAGCAGTCACACGCCGTCCCGACTTATCCTACTCCGCGAGCCAGCTCGCCACTTATCTCAAGAAGCCTGAAGCAGAGCATCTGGCGGAACTCGATCGCGCTCTCCACTATTTCGTCAGCACCGCGACGATCGGATTAACTTATCACAAAAACGCAACTACACCGACCAAGCTAATCGGCTACGTCGACGCCGATCACGCCGCCGACACCGATAACAGGCGCTCACGCACCGGCTATGTCTACCGCCTCGAGCCTATCGGTCCTATCTCCTGGCAGTCGAGTAAGCAGGAGTTAATCGCACTGTCTTCAGCTGAAGCGGAATATATTGCACTCTGCTCAGCCACCAAGGAGGGACTTTACCTTCGCAAACTGCTGGAAGAAGCGAAGTTAGCCGAGTTACCCAGCTTCACCGTGTTCTGCGACAACCAGTCAGCAATTCGCATCGCCAACAAGAACGGCTTCGCAAACAGGACGAAACACATCGCCCTGCGCTATTTCTTCGTGAAGGACGAGATCGAAAAGGGGAAACTCGATCTGTCATACTGTCCCACGTCTGAGATGGCAGCCGATTACTTGACCAAGAAGCTCGGAAAGCAGAAGTTCGAATACTGCATGCTGCTGACTGGACAAGGCCACGTCACCTGCGGCGACACTCTAGAAGCGAAGGGGAGTGTTGGAAACAATAAGTCTTAGTGCGCTTCTGTCGTGTCAAAACCCAAGACACTAGCGAAGCAGTCCGAATAGAAGCATCGAGTCAAACCTCGGAGGTTAGGGTAACCGCCTGGAGGTTACGGGAAAGTCAAAGGTCAGCGACCTTTGACTTGACAATTACAGCGCGACAGTTAAGGACACACAACTGACTCGTTACAGAGCAGTTGCCCGAGTCGCACTGTATCGAATCGCAACAGCAAATACAGTTATCTATCCATTCGTATTTCCTGTACTCTTATATAAAACTTTGTCTTTGCTTGTTTAATTTAATCCACTTTGCTCTCACACACTAGCGCAAGGTCGGTTCACAAGTTTCATTAAACGCTTCTGCTATTACAAAGTTTCTTACCCAGAGTCATCCTCTGCAAAGATCCTTAAGGGCTTTCTCAGCCCAACAGGGTGCAGGCTTGGCGAAGTGAAAATTGAAGGCGACGCGAGGCAGCCTCAGAATCGTGGATGTCGGACGGACGTGCGAAGCCCGAAAGTGTTCGGTTGTACTGTCAGAACATTATAGCTTATACTTTTGTGTGGGTTGTAGTGGGTAGCCCATAAGGGGTACAACCCAATTAGGGTTAGTACTTGTACCCAACTGTTTCATAGTTGATTCATTCTCGTTTCAGTATTCTCATGGTATCGAGCAGGTTCCCTCGTGGGAACTGTTCCTAGGGCCCACCGATCCGATTTTTTTTCCTACCCGGAGTGCGCGCAACCCTTGCCCGAGTCGCGCTCCCCTTTCTCGACCCTGTCGCGCCGCCCTAGCGGCTGTGTCGCGCCGCCCTTGCGGCCCCGATCCGCTGCCCTAGCGGCCCGTCGCCTACCTCTGCGGCCCCGGCGCCACCCTTGACGGCCCCGATCCGCCGCCCTAGCGGCCCCATCGCCTACCCCGCGGCCCTGGCGCCGCCCTTCCTGGCCCCGATCCGCCGCTCTGCGACCCCGTCGCCTACCTCGCGGCCCTCGCGCCGCCCTTCCCGGCCCCGATTCGCCGCCCTGCGGCCCCGTCGCCTACCCCGCGGCCCTGGCGCCGCCCTTCCCGGCCCCGATCCGCCGCCCTGCGGCCCCGTTGCCTACCCCACGGCCCTGACGCCGCCCTTCCCGACCCGGCCCCGCCCTTGCTGGCCCCGTCGCCTACCTCGCGGCCCTGACGCCGCCCTTCCCGACCCGGCCCCGCCCTTGCTGGCCCCGTCGCCTACCTGCGACCCCGGTGCTGCCCTTCCCGGCCCCGTCACCTACTTGTTTGGCCCCGGCGCCGCCTCTGCCGGCCCCGCCGTCGTCCCCACACGGCCCCGCCGTCATCACCGAGGCGCCGGCGTCGTCGCCTGCTGCCGAGCCGCACGAGCCGCTGCACCCTACCGAGTCGCCTGAGCCAGCCGAGCAGCCGGGCAGCCGAGCCGCCGAGCCGCCCTGCAGCCGAGCCGCCGAGCCGCCCAGCAGCCGAGCAGCCTAGCCGCCGAGCCGCCGAGCCGCCCAACAGCCGAGCAGCCGAGCCGCCGAGCCGCAGAGCCGCCCAGCAGCCGAGCCGCCGATTCGCCCTGCAGCCAAGCCGCACGCACCGCCGAGCCGCCCTGTCTGGTGAGAGCAGCGCTTCTGTCACTGCACTGCCCTTACCCTACTGTTCGCGCAGCTAGTCTACTGCTGTCATGGCTACCCCTAGTGTCCTCGCTTTTGACGCTGAGGGTAGGGCCATTGACTTTGACTTCTGGGTAGATGACTTGCATCTTTTCTTACAGTGCGATAGAGCACACGGCCTCTCCCTCTTTGACCTCACTTCTGGTGCCTCTCCTACCCCAACTGCTGATGCTGACGCCACTGTTCTCCCTCCCCCCTCTTGCTCTCTGTTGCTTCTGCTGCTACGGCCGACCTCGTTGGTTTCGAGTCCGTCGGCGCGGCGTCTGCACCCTCGGGGAAGCGCCGCACAGGCAAGGGCAAGGGGGGCAAGGGCGCTGGAGGAGCTGGCGGGGGCGGTGGAGGCGGCAGTGGAGGCGGCGGAGGGGGTGGGGGTGGTCGTGGGAGTGGTGGCGGGGGTGGCGGTGTAGGTGGCAGCAGTGGAGGGAGCGGAGGCGGTGGGGGTGGCGGAGGCGGCGGAGGTGGCGGAGGCGGCGGTGGTGGCGGAGGGAGCGGAGGCGGTGGGGATGGCGGAGGCGGCGGAGGTGGCGGAGGCGGCGGAGGTGGCGGTGGAGCTGGTCGCGGCTCTGCGCAGAGGAGTGGCTCCGGTGGTGGTCCGCGCCAGCAGCAGTAGCGCGGTCGTGAGACCGTGTCCCCTCAGCAGCTTCGTGAGTGGTACGCTGGGCGTCAGCGGGGTGGGGTTACTGGCCCGTGCACCTACGTCCTGCGCACCGGCGACCGCGCGGGTGAGCAGTGCGGGGGTGCGCACTCCACCCAGCGCTGCTTTGGCCGCCTGACGGACGCTTGGCGTTACCAGTGCCCTCAGGCCACGGAGATCCCTCGCTGGGGCGAGCTGTCTAGGGCGGGAGTAGCTATCTTTGACCTTGACTTTGATGCTATTCTTGCTGCCATGTATGCTGTGACTATTAGTGATGAGGGTGACTGTTACCGGTGCTTTCCGCCCGACTCGGGCATTGAGACTTCTTCTCTAGGTACTGGTGAGGCTGCTACTCTTGGCGCTAGCGAGGCTGCTGCTCTAGGTGCTAGTGCGTCTGCTTCCTCAGGTACTGGTGAGTCTGCTCTCTCAGGTACTGCGTCGGCTTCGGCCTCCCTCACCTTCACCCTTGACTTGGGGGCTTCTCGCTCCTTCTTTCGAGACCGCACCACACTCACGCCGCTTAGTCGGCCAGTTGCAGTCTCTCTGGCGGACCCCTCTGGGGGTCCTGTCCTTGCTCACTTCTCCACTGTCCTCCCGTGTTCGGCGGCTCCCTCTGGCACCCCGTCTGGTCTTTACCTCCCCTCGTTCTCTACGAACTTGGTGAGTGGTGCTGACGTACAGGATGGGGGAGTTCACCAGTTCACTCCTGCGAGCGAGCGGGTGACGCACTGCGCTGAGGCTCGGTCGGGCCGACACTTGGCCACGTTTACACGTCAGCCGGGGTCGAGCCTGTACACACTCACCACTGAGTCTCCTCCTGTCACTGAGTCTGGTCGGGTAACTGCGTCGGGTCAGGTGTTTGGTGCAGCGTCCAGGTCTGGTCCTGAGTCTGCCCCCTGCTCGTGTCGTCTCCTGTCTGACGAGACTCTCCTTTGGCACCACCGCCTTGGTCACCCTTCCCTGTCTCGTCTCCGAGGCATGGCGCCCCGTGTCCTTGTCTCTGGTCTTCCCCGGTCCCTCCCTCCCCTTCCCCCGGGGCCTGCCCCTCCCTTCGTCCCCTGCGTCGAGGGGCGCCAGCGTGCTGCCCCTCACTCCTCCCAGTTTCCTCCGACAGAGGCTCCGCTGCAAACGCTTCACATGGACGTGTGGCTCCCAGCCCGCGTCCGTGGACAGGGTCACGAGCGCTACTTCCTGCTGGTGGTTGACGACTACTCGCGTTACACCACAGTCTTCCCCTTGCGCAGCAAGGGTGATGTCACTGAGGTGTTGATCGACTGGATCCAAGCAGCTCGTCTCCATCTCAGGCGTGGCTTTGGCTCGGACTTTCCTGTTCTGCGTCTGCACTGTGACAGAGGCGGAGAGTTCTCCTCTGGCCTTCTGAGAGCCTACTGTCGTGCACGAGGCATCCGTCAGACCTTCACGCTTGCGGACACTCCGCAGCAAAATGGGATTGCTGAGCGCCGCATTGGCATGGTCATGGATGTCGCTCGTACGTCCATGATGCATGCGGCTGCCCCCCATTTTCTGTGGCCGTTTGCGGTTCGGTACGCGGCGCATCAGATCAACCTTCAGCCCAGGGTCTCCATGCCGGAGACCTCCCCAGCTTTGCTGTGGACGGGGAAGGTTGGCGATGCGTCTGCGTTCCGTGTCTGGGGATCTCGGGCGTTTGTCCGCGACTTGTCCGCGGATAAGCTGTCCCCTCGTGCTGCTCCCTGCATCTTCCTTGGCTTCCCCCCTGACGCGCCAGGGTGGCAGTTCTACCACCCCACCTCTCGCCGTGTTCTGTCCTCCTAGGATGTCACGTTTGATGAGTCGGTCCCCTACTACCGTCTCTTCCCCCACCGCACTCCGTCCCTCCTCCCGCCACCGCTCTTCCTTGTGCCAGGTCCCCCCTCGGTAGACCCCCTCCCCCCTCAGGGTCCTGCCCCTTCAGGTGTGTCCCAGGTAGACGCAGTCGAGCCTATCGAGATTGCTGGTGACTCTAATGCTGCTGAGGTTGCTGCACCTGGGGGTGCTGACTCTGGGGGTGCTGAGCCTGAGGGTACTGCTACTGGGGGTGCTGAGTTTGGGGGTGCTGCGACTATGGGTGCTGTGCCTGGGGGTGCGGAGCTTGGGGATGCTGAGCCTGGGGGTGCTACGCCTGTGGGTGCTGAGCCTGGGGGTGCGGAGCTTGGGGGTGCTGAGCCTAGGGGTGCTACGCCTGGGGGTGCGGAGCGTGGGGGTGCGGAGCCTGGGGGTGCGGAGCCTACGGGAGCTAGGCCTGCTCGTGTCGTGTCTTGCGGTACTGTGCCTGGAGGTTCTCCGGGTGCTTCGTCTCGGCGGGAGCCACTCTCTCCACAGGAGCTGCGCGAGTGGTTTGCCCGGCGCTGGAGGCGTGCTGCTGGAGCTGGAGGTTCTTTGGCTGCTGAGGGTGCTGCTGTCGCGGGTCCCGGAGGTGCTCGTACTGGGAGAACTGGAGTTGCTGGGCCTGCGGGTACGACTTGAGCTGGAGCTTGTCAGAAGTACGAAACAAGAATGAAGAAAAGAGAGGGTTCACTAGCAAGCAGTTGGATACAAATAGCAAACCCTAACTAGGTTGTACTTGCTATGGAGCACCCTACTGTAGGCTAGATAACATAACATTCTGACACACCCCCATAGCCAAAGTGGGGTGTAATCAGCACAGTAAGCAAAGCAGAACAAGCTCAGGGTGGATCACAATGTCACCACACATTCTGAGCACAATTACAAGAAGCAACAGTTTAAAGTTCACAATTATGAGCAAAGCTAGTGGTAGTCACAGCGGGCAAGTGAGGAGGAGGAGGGACTGTGAGAGGAGAGAAGATGGGAGACGACGGCTGAAGCTGCAGACACACGGGCAACAGGAGCGGCTGGCACAGTGGCTACCGGGACAAGCGCCCCGGACTACTGGAGTAACTGGCTCACGGGCTACAACGAGCTACAGGAGCAACGGACCCTCGGGCGACAAGCGCAGCAGGCTCTCTGGGCTACCAGGACAAGCGCCCCGGACTACAGGTGCTGCGGACGACAAGACTGGTGCCTCCACTCAACCTCCCCCAGCTGCCCAACGCCCCTCTCACACACCCACTGCTACACCCCCTAGCTCCACTCCCCCGCAAGCGGCCCCCTCAGGTCGCCTCGACAGGCGACGGGAAAAGGGGGAGGGTGGGGTGCACGTGCCGTAGGTAGGGCGACGGTGTCGGGCCTGTAGGGCGGCGGGACGGCGGGGCCGCAGGTAGGGCGGCGGGACCGGGGCCAGGGCCGCAGGTAGGGTCGCCCGAACCGCGCGCAGCCGGCCCGAGCCGCGCGCGGGCCTGGCGACGCTCGTACAGGTCGCGGGCGGGCCTGGCGCAGCCCGTACGGGTGGTGCGCGGGCCTGGCGCAGCCCGTACGGGCCGCGGACGGGTCGAGCGCGGCCCGTACGTGCCGCGCGCAGGCCACGACGGGCGACGGGGGGCGACGAACGGGTCCCCGTCGCCCGTCGCGGCGCCGCCCAAGGGCGACGCGCCAGTCGACGGGGCAGAAGCCCGCCGCGCGCCTCGGGGCGCACAGCGGGCAGAGAATCGCCGCGCGCCTCGGGGCGCACGGCAGGCAGAAAAACCGCCGCGCGCCTCGAGGCGCACGGCGGGAAGAAAAATGCCGCACGCCCCGGGGCGTGCGGCTCAGAGGGTTGTTGAAGTAGTAGCAGCGGAAGCGAGAAGGTGGTAAGCCCACCCATAGGATCGATCCAAGGGGATCGACCTGCTCTGATAGCATGTCAGAAGTACGAAACAGGAATGAAGAAAAGAGAGGGTTCACTAGCAAGCAGTTGGATACAAATAGCAAACCCTAACTGGGTTGTACTCGCTATGGAGCACCCCACTGCAGGCTAGATAACATAACATTCTGACAGAGCTATTGAGGGTCTTGGCGCTGAGGCTACTGCTGGCGGTCCTGCTGGGGGTGCTACTGGTGCTGCTGGAGGTCCTGGAGCTACTGGAGCTGCTGGGGGTACTGGAGCTGGAGGTGCTGCTGGAGCGGGTGCTCCTGCTGGGGGTACTGGTGCTGTCCCTGCTGTGTCTAAAGTCGTCGCGCGGCCTCGACCGTACTTCGTTCCGCTCCTTCAGCAGGTTCTTGGTCTTTCGCCTTCTACCGGTCCTCATCCTCCCTTAGAGGGTCCACAACCTGTCCCGTCACAGTTAAAGTTACAGCCGGCCTCCCCCTTGCCTGCTCCTTCTCCCTACACTGGTCCTACCGGAGGTCTTGCTGAGCGTCGTGAGCCTGCGTCTCGCCCTGCGTCGCCTGTCCGTGCGGCTCGCACTAGTGGTCGTGGTTCGCGTCCGCGTCCTTCTCCTATCCCTGGCACGCACCGGATGTCTCTGCGTCCGTCCACTGCTCCTCTGCGTGCCCCTCTGCCTTCTCCTCCTGAGTCCTCTCTTCCTGCTCTTCCCGACCCGGAGTCAGACTCTCTTCGTGCTGCCAGTCCTACTCTCACGCGTCTCCTTGCTACTGTCATCACTGACCCTTCCTTTGAGTCCGCTGCTGCGTCTGCCCTAGTTACTGAGCTCGTCGACTTTGTTGCTCGCTGTCGCCTAGACTACGCTGCTAGTCTTGTCGCTGAGTCAGCGTCTGTCTGTCCTCCGTCCGTCGGGGGTGAGTGTGCCCTTGGCACGGACGTCCTTGAGGACAGGCAGGAGGAGTTCCAGTGTCTGGCTGCTGCTTCACCTCATCTCGTGTCCGTAATGCTTACCCCTGAGGGAGACCCGGATGCACTTGACATCCCGACTCCGCGCTCTTACGCGGAGGCAATAGAGGGTCCCTACTCCTCTCAGTGGCAGGCAGCTATGGACACAGAGATGGCTTCCTGGAAGTCCACAGGCACCTACGTTGACGAGGTTCCCCCGCCTGGGGCGAACATCGTCAGTGGCATGTGGATTTTCAGGGTGAAGCGGCCGCCGGGTTCTCCGCCTGTCTTCAAGGCGCGTTACGTGGCTCGTGGCTTCAATCAGCGGCAGGGAGTTGACTACTTTCAGACCTTCTCTCCCACCCCAAAGATGACCACTCTTCGGGTACTGCTGCACGTAGCTGCTCACCGTGACTACGACCTGCACTCTCTTGACTTCAGCACTGCTTTCTTGCAGGGCAGCCTGCACGAGGAGATCTGGCTGCGCCGCCCTCGTGGCTTCTCTGGGTCTTTTCCTCCTGGTACCCAGTGGAGCCTCAGGCGGCCAGTCTACGGTGTCCGCCAGGCGCGCCGTGAGTGGCACGACACACTGAGGACTACGCTTGCGGCTCTTGGGTTTGCTCCCTCTTCTGCCGACCCGTCACTGTTTCTGTGCACCGACACCTCTTTGCCGCCGTTCTACATTCTCGTGTATGTTGACGACTTGGTCTTTGCCACTGCTGACACTGCTGGACTTGCCCACGTGAAGTCCGAGCTGCAGAAGAGACACACGTGCACAGACCTTGGTGAACTGCGCAGCTACCTTGGCTTGCAGATCACTCGGGATAGAGCACAGCGCACCATTACCATGACTCAGTCACACATGGTGCAGCAGGTCCTTCAGCACTTCAGCTTCACGCACTCCTCGCCTCAGTCCACTCCTCTGTCTACTCGCCACTCGCTCTCAGCTCTGCCTTCGGATGAGTCCATAGAGTCGAGTGGCCCGTATGCAGAGCTTGTTGGCTGCCTCATGTACCTGATGACCTGCACATGTCCTGACATTGCATACGTAGCATGCGTACGCGAGGAGGGACGGAGTACGGATTGGAAGACGAGAACGCAAACGCGGAGGCTGAGGCGACGGGGAAGACCGGAAGGATGAATCAAGGAAAGGATATGAGGAAAGAGGATTCCCGCGATGATGGTTCGCCCAAGCGGGACTCGGAGAAAATTAGATCGGCCGGAAGGCGAAGGCAAGGGAACCGGCAGAGCAGCAAGGAAGGATGTGCGGTAGGGAGGAAGACCGATGCGCACTGTGGGAGAAGAGCGTTCGACAGGCTCTTACCAGAGAAGTGTGTCGTGGCAAGAGGAGGCGTTCGTGCAGCGGTGGAAATACACGCTGCTGCCGAAATTTGAAGTCCCAGAGCGCTTCTCTGGGGATACACGACGGGGACCGACGATCAAGAACCACGTGATGCAGTTGGACAACTTGCGGGCGAGGTGGGAGAGAGATCAGTTAGACCCAGAAGAGTTCTTCAGGGGGCTCGCCAACACTCTAACCGGAGAAGCGAAAACCTTCTATCGCCTCAGCCGAAGAGAGCTGCTTGAATGGACCGCTCGGGAGGCACCGGGAGAGTGAGATCCCACGACGCGCTTCCTGCGGATGCTTGAAGATCAATTCCCAGCGCAGACACCGGAGCGGATAGCAGAATTTCGGTAATTTCGCCGCCGAACGGGAGAATCGCTACTTGCGTGCTACGGTAGACTGGTGGAATTGGCAGAAGACATGAGCTGTCATGACACAAGTCGGCTGGTTAGCAAGTTCCTGAACAGGCTGCACTACAAACTACAGCGAGATGTGGCGGTCATGATTTTCGAGATGGGGGCACAAACCACGCTGAAGGAGGTCTACGAGGTGGTGAAGCAGGTGGAGATTGGCCGTCGGCTATGTGAGATCGAAACGACAATAGAGAAAGGAGGGGAGCGAAGGAGGCCTGCCTGGGCGGCGACGCCGGCGGAAAGGGAGAAACCACCACGCAGGGCAGGAGATGAACGGCGCTGCCACAACTGCGGTCATATAGGGCATCTGCAAAGGGAGTGTCACAACCCACCAGCATGCTCCACCTGCGGAAGCGAAGAGCACCTGAGGAGGGATTGCCCGGATGCACCAGTATGCGATCATTGCGGAAGGAAGGGGCATCAAGGGAAGGACTTCTACGCCACTAGGAGGGAAGGATGGACAAGGAAGGATCCGCAGGAAATGAAAGCGCAAATTGCCCGACTGCAGCGACAACTGGAGGAGATGGAAGGACCAGAGCAAAAGGGGACGCCAATGTTGGCGAGGTCGGAGGAAGAAGACGAGGAGGGGAGCGAGGCCAGCTTTGCTCTGATGGCACGTCCGGTGCGGGAGAGGGGGGAACTCGGGCTACGAGCGCGACACCGCTACTTTCCACAAGAAACACCAGTACAGGAGCGAGGACCGAGGAGGGATACTACGCATGCAAGAACGGCGGGGGCAGCACGACGTCACCCTTTGGAGAGGATGGCAAGTCAGCCGTCAGTGTTGGTGGTGGAGCCAGGAGTGATGAGCATGGGCGGCGTGAAAGTCAAGCAGGCAATTCAGGAGCTCACAACGTGCTGATTGGTGCGCCCACGGCCAGGCTGCTAGGCTTGGATAGGGAGGACAGAGTGGTACCTGAAGGTTACTTGCTGATGACTGCAGAGGGGGGTACGGCGAAATGGATGCCGAAGACCCGCTACACGGTGGAGATAGTGATACGACCCGGGCATCAGGACGAATGTATAGTGCGCATGCACTACGGAGTGTCTACGTATGAAGATT